CAATACCGATTATGCCGCCCCCTGTTTAACTACGACTACCTGCGCTGAGCTTGCCAGAAAGGCTCTTTAGTGTTGTCTCATAAAGGTGTGAAAAAAGAAAAGAAATACTTTACAAAAAGAACTATTTATTATTACTAAGTTATTTTTGTTTACTTAAGTGTAAAACCATAAAAATATTTATCTATAGAAATTGAACTCTTGCCTTCATGTTTGCGAAATCTGTTATCAATTTTCTTGTATCCAAGCTGTCTAATATTTCATTTTCAATTGAAACTATAGCTATAAGCTAAATTACTTAGTCTTTGCTGGTGCATTGTTGATCTTAAATAGTTTTTTATAATTTTTAACTTTGAAAAGGACCTTTCACCAAATGCAACTGAAACCGGCAATGTAAGTAATATTCTTACTGCTATTGCTGTGTACGGAAATGTTGAAATTAAATCATTAGTAAAAAGATATTGTAATGGGGTTTGTGGATCATTAGACTGGTTTTCTGGAAAATGCAACTTTAAAGTATTGATTTCATTAAACAAATCAATACCGCCAATGTCTGTTTCGCTACTTGAATCGTCTTTAAGCTTCAGATTTAAATCCTAACCAAGTTAAAATATCATTAATTATACTTAGATTCATGTCAGAAGAATTATTAACAAAATAATTGCAATTTGATATGCGAAAGAACTGTTCGAATGCGTACAAGTACAAATTGAGAAAAAAAGCTCTGTGGGGATTCCCCATTTTCGCCAGTCCTGTCAACTTCTGTCATAGAGCACGACTATGGGTACTTGGCTTTCGGGCGCCGCCAGGTTCAACCTGCCAACAGACGTTTCGCATTGCATCTTAATTCTGATAAATGCCAATAGAGGCGCTGTTAACGCTATAATATAAATAAGTATATAGTAATTGCGCGCCGGTCGGATTTTTTTCTCCATGCGGAGACATTTTTTATGCTATAAGTAGGGTGGGCATTATGACAATGACTTTGAATATTACGTGACCGATCGCTCGATTTGCCGCCCCCTGAATGTGCCGCCCGCGTGCGGTGCACGCCTTGCACGCCCGCTTACGGCGGGCCTGCCCATGGCCACTGGTGAGTCTTATAATTAATTGAATATGTTCAATTACATTTTTTGTTACCTTAAATACGTGTTTTATTTGTTTTTTTACTTAACGTCCTAACTCTTTAACTAAAAAGATATTGGCTATTTTGCTATTTCGCAAATTGTACTTGTTAGAATTTGACATAGGGCGCCTTGCGAAAATCTGAATTTAGCAAGGGCACCGAGAATCAAAAAAGTTTGTAAACCATTGGTATAGTAAAAAATAGTTAATAGGTTAGGTTAGGTTTGGTAAAAATGGGGCCCCATTGGACTTCAATAAGCCCTAGGCCCCGAAAAGCCTACATCCGCCCCTGAGGATAATACGGTCTTTTAGTAAAGGTTTTTAATTATTTTTAATAATAATTCATTCTTTTGAATTTTAGCGCGGAACACAGAGCGAATCTCTAATGATTACGGTGGTTAAAGTTCAGATGTTTGACAGTACAGTACAATTTCGATAATCCGACATATACAGTATGAGATCGGAACAGTGTCGGATTATTGGAAGGTGATTAATGATTAACTATTAAATAGTTAATAGTTAATCATTTGGGAAGAAAACATTTGTTTATTTTTATAATATTAAAACGTTGTAGTAACAAAACTTATATAGAATAGCAAGAAAATATTAAATGAGAGCAATCATATTTTACTGTATTTTAGAGTTCTCAAATTAATCGTTAACCTTTTTAAAATAATTTTCAATTGTCTTCAGTCATCCGAGTACACTACCGTCGCCGATATTCATGTTGCCAATTTCGTGGATTTCCACTATAATTAATGGAAAATTGAAGCTAGCGACCGTAAAAAATTTAATGGGAGGTACAGCATTTTTGGTGAGAAATTTCAGAAAACTGACTTTTATATTTACACAGTATTGTGTTATAAGTATGGCTGACGAGAGTGGGGAATGATGGAGTAAAATTCCTCGAGTCCGGGATTCAAAGAAACCAGAACATCATCCCACAGTTTGTTTTTTACGCGCTATGGCTGCGTTTCTTTATGCAGCGAGAGTGCAGCGTAAATGACGTCACGAGCAGCTATCGCTACACGTCGCTGCATCATAGTTTAGAAACGCTTTCCGCTCGAGCGAAACACGGACGTCATAATCTATCCTTTAATTCCAGTTACAGCCGAAAATAGTGCTTTAGTTAAAGAACTACAATATTTAAATAAAGAGATATAAAGAATCGAGCATTTATCTTTCCATAAATGTGAACAAAGTAAAGAGATAAAAGATATATAATTATATTTAAAATATAGTATTTTCTTATTCTTTACATAACTTTCAGAGTCATTTCATAAAATTTAATCCTTCTTAATATTTCCATAATATTTTTATCAACAGTCACTTCGACTTTTTTATTTTTACAGCATAATATCGTATTATACACACAAACGTCCATTTTGCTTTACACGTGTAGCAAAAGTAAAAGCTGCTTTATCTTCGCTGCAGCGACATCTTGCAGCAAACGTTTAGAAACGGTTCGCTACATTGCAGCGCTGCATTTAGAAACGGGTTTCAGAAAGTTCGCTGTAAAGCACTTCTCGAGCGCTGCATAAAGAAACGCGGCCTTTCTAAACTATGATGCAGCGACGTGTAGTGATAGCTGCTCGTGACGTCATTTTGGCTTCACTCTCGCTGCATAAAGAAACGCGGCCTTAACAGCCTCGAATATGGGCTCCAAGTTACGCGGAGCCCATTTTCGAGGTATTAATCTATAATTATGATATTAATGCGTTATAAAAAAATCTTCTATGTAAATGAACTAGTTGTAGACTTGACTCTAACACTACTAAATATACTGGTAAACAAATTATTTAACGACGGAACAAGAAGACAATTTTGTAATTTCAATAAATTTTATTTACAGGTATTTTAAATTATGATTAACACAACTAAACTATTAAACTTTGAGTTATGAATTAAATATTTAAGTTTATTATATTAAGTTATATTAAGCTTCGTAGTTCGACCGGTTAGTTCAAGCACGGGAATTAATTCGGACAATGAACAATAAATATACTCTGATCAGCAGAAGTGAAGAAAAGCTTCCTATGCAAGTTTAACAATGGTCTTTTATACATTATTAATTTCAAATTAAACATGTTTACAAAACTTTGACATTATTCCAATACTTTCCCTTGTTATGTACAGTATATATAACAGCCGGGAAAGTAAAAATGAAATTTTTCTTGTGTCTTACTAATATCTCGAATAGAATAAATGTAATAAAATATTTTTTAATATTTTAGTCAAATTTAAACCATAAATTAGTGATATGCAATTTCATTCATTACTCAAATATATTATGAAATTACACAAATTAAACTATAGTTGTGAAGTGTTGAGATAGAGGTTGAAGTTTAATATAACTCAACCCCCAAAATTAAAATTAACTGAAACAAAATAAAGAAATACATAATGTAAGTAACTAAATATAATTATAAATAAAATTCTCTTTCTTTCTATCTCGCAAGTCTTTCAAAATTCATTCCTTTTTTTATGTTAAAAATTTTCTTTCCACAATTTAATAATGTTCAAGTATTTTTACAGTATTTACAGTATTTTTCTTTTAGTATGTGTGGTTGTGCCTAGCTTTTTTTTTTTTTTTTAGTGTTCTCTTCAGAACGGAAAAGATATTCCTCTCCTAATTCCATCTCCTGCCGCAAAATATGGGACTTGCATCCTCCAAAAAACTTAATTCTTGACTGAAAAAAAGAATCACCCGACTCATAATCATAACAATTATCTTGATCCTCCGCAACATTTTTTCACGTAAGGCACACCTAGGTACTTCCTAGAATTCTGTAGTATACCAGAAATAAAATTATACAAAAAGTACATAAAGTTACAGAGTACATTAAAAAATTACCGATTTTCTGTTTTTTACTTGTAATAATATAAAAATATTTAAAATTAGTTTATAATCGGTATTCTTATTTTTTAACAACCCGGAACCATCCTGGACGAAGTATCATGCATTTCTAGCGTGAAAAGCACATGATTTGGGTCTTGTGATCGTAGGCACGCGAACATAATCTATTTGTCGCTTCACAAAAAGTGGGATGGTGACTATGACAAGCGACTCGACAAATTTACATGTTCACAGATTCTGTGAAATATGACTGTAAAGTGTAAAAGTTTGAAGCCTGTTAGAATTCCTTCTGTCTCAAACGTCAGTGGCAAAAAGCATGTAATAGGTAAATCATTCTCTCTTTTGAATTAATATGTATCATATTCGCGTCTGCTTATCTCTCTGTTGGATGCATTGTGCCGCGGCATACTTGTTGCGGAGCTCTGGTCTTGATTATGATATCAAATGAAAAGCATTTTTGTTTGATGCGTTCGAAACCTCGTTGGTTCCAAGTCCTGATTGTTCTTACATGTAAGAATTTTCCAACTGTATAATTTTAATTGTACTTTTTTATATGAAAAGCAACAACTGTTTCAAAACTCACCGTATATTATACAAAAATTATCAATAAAGTCAATATGATACTATTTATGTTGTTCTCTTGCTTGTTGCGGGAATTATTGCGAAAATCGAAGAGAAATGTATATATACAGTACAGTACATAATTATGAATTTTCAATGTATTTTGATAAGGTTAATTTACACATTTGTATATTTAAATTAATACTTCTTTTCGGGAAGTTCGCAAACTGATATTTGTATTTCTATAAATTTTTTATTACAATTACCAATCGCTTCCATTCTAAGACACTTCGTTATTTGTCGATAGTAACTCCAACAAGAAAAATAAATTTTATTACTATAAAATTTTGCACTTTTCTATACAGATACATCGGATTCGCCACAAAGGATTTGCCACGTCTGTGTTCTTCTAGCGGAACGGATAACAATAGGAATCATCCGAAATAGGTAAAGTATTTTAAACTTTTGAAAACTTTAAATAACGGATAAATATAAGTCTAAAAGCTATTAAATAATGTATAAAACATTTTAAACAAAAATATAATTATTAAATTAGCCGGCTGTTTTGTAAAACTTCTTATATAATAAATACGTCTGCATCAAAAGTAATTAGAAAGATTGAGAGGGCGACACTTCTCTAAAACAAAATGGCGGATGTGAATTTATGTTGAATTGTAAACGACACTGTTGTCATCGAAATGGAAAGCCGAGATGTCGATGATCTCGATGGTGAGCACCGAAATTCTAGGATAATATCGTTTATTTCGTTTTTTAATGTATTTAGATTAAGACTGAAAACATTCTTAAATAAATACAACCGGTGCAATTCTTACAACATATTCATCAATAAAATGTTGGGTTTCGTAATGTAATTTATAACTGTATTATTTTCTTTCGTTAGGTAAACGAGTATGTTAGCATAGGAAACCTTAATGACAACTTTTAATTGCAAATATCTATAAATCCTCTACATATAGTCGTGCATATTGCTAATCTACAGTATAAGGCGCTCATTTACCAACTTTTGATGTAACACTATTATAATGTATACTGATGTCTTTGTATTGTTTAAATTTAACAAACATTACGTTAAATGAAAAAGTAGTATGAAACATCATTAAGACTGATTTTAATTATTTTTTAATTTAGTGTTTAAGAATTGAATTATTATTATTTGTTAAAATTTATGCATGCTTAGTTTCAGGTAGAACTGCGGTGTTTTTCTTGCTTTTTTGATTTTCTATGTGATTTTATTACTTTCTGTCTTTAGGACATGAGCTGTGGCAAAAGATAGGTGAAATATGTAATGTTAAGATGGTTATTGCCAATTACCATATTTCTGCATATAATATGAGTATGCTCTTATAGATGGAGCAAGATTGGCACTATATTCCATGAAGTCCCTAAAGATCACTAGGTGGTGCTTCATACTTTGAATTTAATTTGTTCTGGGAGATCTTAGAACTGAATTTTTCAAAGTCCAAATAAATTTTTCCTTTTAGATATAATGGAAAGTGAATTAATTCCTTAGCTAAATGGCAAATAAAACCTTGATAAAAATTCAGTTAAGTAAATTTGTAATTTTTGGAAATATAATCCAATTGTACATATTAGGATACATGTTTACTTTGTTTGTAGTAATACTGCTGATGAGGGGCGTGTTAGCCGAAACACATTTAAGTATACAGAAAAAGTTACTACTACAGGTGATTTAATAAAGAAAATTTGTTTTTTCTGAACTAACTCTCATTATTGTGTCAATTTTTAAACACCAGTGTAAAGTCCTATTAAAGAGTAATGTCCAATAGACAATTAAAAATAAAAGTGAATTAATTCATTCCCAGACCCTAAAAAATACCCATTTCAATAAATTTAAACTGCAAATACACATAATTTAAGATAAAAGTACACAATTAAATGTCCTACATAATAAATTAAAACATAACAATAAATAAAATACTGTACAATCACATAAAATTTGCATTTACTGTACCTTAGTGATGTCTCATTTCTTAAGGACATTATGCAGCTGCTAGCTTTCTCACAAATAATCCTCTTGAAGATGATTTTACCACCCAATTGTTTCTCATTTATCTACATTAGGAGATTTTCCTTCACCTCAATAACATGCAATCTCCTAGAGGTAAACATTGTTGCACGTTTAGCCATATTTGCTGCTGCTGCTGCTACTTTTTTTTTTCTTCCTTGTTCTTAAGAATGGTGCACCATCAGCTTTGGCATCTTAAACATGGCTGCCAGATCTGCCTTAAATGTACTGCTTTTGTGCTTTGTGATAAGTTCCTTTTTCAACTCAATTGTCAATACTATAACTCTTCTCTTAGGCTTCATTGTTTCCACACATTTAATTTTTTCAATGTCTTGATTAATAGGTAGGAGTTATATGTTATATATTGTTTATATATATATAAACAAATACACCAAAAATAAAGCAAAAAAAAGCATTGAAAATACATATACATGAACACAAGATGCTTTCACAATGAGAGCAAGAGATGGCTTGAGTGCACAACAGATGGTGTTTATACAATAAGTCATTTTTTCACTGTGCACAGTTTGAACTTAGAAGTGTTGTTCAAACTTCAGAACATTTGAAGTATAAGGTACCACTGTATTTTTTTAAAAACTTTTTTAGTGTCAGAAGCATTTTTTAATTTTTAAATTAATAATGGTTACCAAGTAGATGTAACCAAATATTCACTATATCATTTTACTATATTTATATTTAATTTATGTTGACACAGCAAAACAGTACTCTTATAATTGAAACAGGACATGTTTTTCAAAATATGAAAACAAGTGATTTTTACATATAAGAGGATACTCTTATTTGCACAGAAATAAAGTATGTAGTTGCAAATTATTGCTATTATTACTACAGACAATATTATATTTTTTCAATATTAAGAGACTTTTTTTTTTTAAAAATGATAATAGCTTAGCTTTAAAATTTCATTTATTTCTAAAATACTAGACATAATATAATCAGGACATAAAACATTAAGCAGAAATAGAATTTTTTGTAAAGAAAAATAATAAAAAAAAAAAAGATAGAATATATTTTTTCTTGGAACTAGAAGAAGCATTTTCAGATTAATAAACTTATGAAAATCAGATGATAAGGTTAGATTAATTTATGAAATTTGGACTAAAGGTAGTTAATCTGGCCTTATCTTTTCATCATTAGAATAACTTGATCTTGGTTGTCTATATGTATTTATGAAAATCAAATATAAAATTTTAAATATACAGTGGGTGATCAGTTAACCAATCACCCACTGTATTTATATGAAATGATTCAGGAATATTAACATAAGCCAAAATAAATTTGCATTAAAATAAATAAATTAATGGATAATGAGTGCTATAATACAGAGAATCAATTTTGAGTTATTGTAAGTAAAATATAATAAAAAAGCATAAATAAAATATTAATATCTATTTTATCAATATGGAAAATTCTTTTGATATGTCTGTCATTGAGGTAACATTTTACATGATTAAAACTAGTACAAATTTTTTAATCCATTAATGTTGTGTCATTCCTAAGTAATTCATTTGTTTAGATTGATTCTTTTTCTTGAATTATAAATGATTTAATATTTTACTGGAATAACTGATTAGTTTTAATTCAAGATGTCATTTGATTTTTACAAAGTTAAATTTTTGAGTATCTTCTAACACAAACAGAAAAAGTATTTCATATAATTTGAATTTTATTTATTGAAATTAAGATTTATTGAGTGATTTTCAAAATTTTTACTTCAATTATCTTAAAATGCTTAAGCACAGTATAGGTTACATTCTTAAACTCATTGCTCTTTTAGAATATTTGTTCATAAAGTTTTAAACTTGTCAATGAAAAGATTTTAATCAATTTTTATATTGGAATTTCAATTTTTATATTGAATTCATTAAAATTTTATTTAATTGAAAGTGTTCAAATAACCAGGTCTGTAGAGTTGTGTAAAAATCTACCGACTCTGACTCCGACTTTGCCTTACCATCTGACTCCGACCAGGGGCGGACTTGTTACCAAAATAGACCAGGAAATTCTGATGTCATCACATGACCTCAGAATAAAATATTTAATAAATAGAGTTCTAATAAAGATAGAACATAGAAACTTTTTCATTCCAAGCTAAAAGACTACTCTAAGTAATGACACAGTCAATATATAAATATGTATTCAATGATTTTTACTTTTCCGGCTGTTATATATAACAGAGGGAAAGTTTAGCAATTAGTCAAAAAATGACCCCTCCCAAATGAAAAAATTTTTGGACTCAGAACATCTTGAAATGTCGAGATATGCAAAAGATTCAGGAATTTTTCTGTATGTATGGATATCAGACTGTGTGTGTGTGTGGGGAGCACAATTTTATTTACACTGTTTGAAGCCTATAACTTCTGTGGTTTTTAAATCGGAGTCAGATGGTTTAATACAGGAGTTATTAAGCTTCAAAGTGATTGAAGAAATTGTGCCCCCATACACATTATAACATCTTAGACAAGAACATCTTAACAGGTTTTACTGTACTATTATAAAATGACAAAAAGCTTAATTTTGAGGGTAGAGATATGTTTTATTTTTTAAAAAATTGTGAGCATTAATAATTAGTAAAATATTCATTAAGTCCGACCACACTGGAAATATGACACATGACCTCTGCCATGTCTTCACCCTGTCGATCTTTAATTAAGAACCAAAATTTTTATATCATTAATGCCCCTTTATACACAAGCTATAGTGCCAAATTTTGTTTCTTAAATGTTACCTATTCTGAGATATTGTTTAATATCTCAGAACAGAGAATAAAGAAATTAAACAAATTAAATGCAACACACGTGTGTTGCATTTAATTTGTTTAATTTTCCCCTGACATTTTCCCCTGACATTTCTTTGGGGGGTTTGGGTGGTCTCCAAATGTGTAGATTTGCAAAAATCTTGGAGGATCAAATTTGATATGATTCCAATACTCTTTTGTTTTATATATGTACATAGCAAGCTGAGAAGTAAAAAAGAGTTGGAGTTGGCGGATTTTTTGATGATTCCGACTAAAACATAAACTCCATGACTCCAATTCCACAGCCCTGCAAATAACACATTGGTGTGTCAGTGTTAAGAATCACAAGTATTGTACAGAACTCAAAAGTGAAATTAAGTCAATAACAAATCTTATTATATGCAAGAATACAGTAATAATGTAATCACAAAATACATTAAAATTTTATTTATTTCTTTACAAAATTTAAGGTGTTCTTTTTCAAATACTTTGCTTTTGGTTCTACTATTGTTCTTGATGATATTTTTGAACATATTGATGATATAGACTGATCATAAGTTATTTGAATAGCTATATTATTGACAGACTACAGGGTACAATTATATTTTAAATAAAATTATGTAGAAATATGTTATTCTTTAT